AGTAGACATTACACCATACTCTTATATATGATGAAGGAATAATTATACTGATAGACTGTACACTAAAAGGTTAGTCAAACTCTATTAACTTTCTTAACATTTGGACGACCTTGATATATTGCTAGATGTCTATCTTGGTCTATGGAGTTAAATTAATCAATTGAGAATTGATAATGAATATGATTCATTTAAGCTTAATTTATTAAGATTATAAGTCAAGTCCATTACTAACTTGTTAGGAGTCTAATGGGTCACACACATAAAATTACTATGATAAGATTAAAATGGACTTTTACAATTAGGTGGGACTCAATTGAATAGAGGTTATGAACTACTATTAGGCTTAATCAAAATGTTTAAATAAGCCATGGGATCAAATATTTTATTATCAAAAAGTTATGTAGTGTTAACTAAAAGCTGTATTAACCATAACTAAAATATGTTGTTTTAGACCCAAAAACTAGTGAGTGTTTTTCTCCTCCTAGTCTTGCTATAGCCTCAGATTGTAAAATATTAATTAATATTTTTTGAACAGTTGTAACAATTTTCCATTGTGGATTAATATAATCTAAATATAAGTAACAAAGCTTGTGATATATTTTTTGACAAGATAATTAAAACAAGAAAGTTTGTGATATATATATATATATATATGTGTGTGTGTATATACCCAAAAGACATTTAAATAATTGTGGGAATAAAATAGAGAATTGAAGGTAAATTAAAATGATCCACAAAGCTCCTTGGCTCCTTGTTAAGCATGAAAACATTTTAGGAAGAAGAAACAAGTTGGCATAAAATTAATTAGGAAAATTAGTAGTGTTAATAAAAGTGAAAATTTTATGTGCTAAAGTTTCAGAATAGTTTCTTTTCAGTTTTCACTCACTATGATTATTTTCACCTAATTAAGAGAACAAAGAAGCAAAATAATTATGTGGAAGGAAAGAAAGATGATGAATGCTTGTTATAAGGTTATTCCGAAGAACATGAGCTCGAAGATATTTTGTATTTTAATTACCTGATGAAGTAAGGCGAATAAGCTCTACCCTTACAGGGTCTCGGTTGAGTTTGTGAAAGAAGGAAACCAACTTCTCCTTACAAAATTTGTTAAGAAATCAAGATCTTAAAAATTATCCTTTATGAGAAGAAAATGAATTATGAAGAACATGAACTACTGAAAAGTGGGCAAGATGAATATTTGTATGGAACTTATGTTAAGATGGGTTTGTGTTATAAGGTATGATTCTGATTAATTAATATTACCAAAGATGAAAGCAAATCATAAGCATAGACAGTTTACCTGGTTCAGTGAGGCAGTGAATTGATACTTTCTATCCTCAGAAGGTCTTTATTAAATTTGGGAAACAAGCACAGTCAAAAAATTAACAGCAACAAGCAAATGATCTCCTACAAAGTTGTGAGTAACTTTCCTTGAAGCTGCTTCACAATAATGCAAATATGAATTGAAGAAAAGCTGGCAAATTAAGAGTGAATTACGGGGCTGCCTTGTCCTACTCTCCTCCATTATTGTCCTTCTTGCCTTCTGTTTCGCAACGATACAAATATGAATTTGACAGATGCCCTTTAAAACATTCTAAACTAATAGACTAACAACATTTTTAAAGACATAAAGCATTTAAATATTTAAATGAGACTTTTTTGATTGAAATTAAAAAAAATTATTGTTAATTGAAAATTATTAAAAATATATTATACTTATTAAAAATAAAAAAAATAATTAAAAATTATTAACATTATAAGAATTGACAAGTGATAAAAAATAGAGATTTATTAAGTATATAATTAAAAAAGTAAAAAAATATGTAATTTCCTTAATTATTTTAACTATTATATACGTGAAGAAGTGAGATAAATAGTTAAGAATTAATAAGAAATTGGAGGTGAGAAAAATAAATATTTAATAGATACTTAATTTAAAAAATATTTTATTAATTATTTTAATTTTTATATATTTTTAATATAATTAATTATATTATATAAAAATATAGGATCTAAAGTAAGGGCATTGGTGGCTTTATGCTAAAGCCGGCCTGACTAAATTAATAAAACTTTATTATTTAAGAAAATAATTAGTACAACCAGAAAACTGAGCAATTCTTTTGCTGCTGCTGACAACAAAGGTTTGCTTGTGCACAGAACGAAATAGATTATGATGGAGTTTCAGCATGCACCATACTTGAATTATCGGTTTCCACTGAGGCAACCTGATTGTTGTAGTTCCTTGTTTGGTTTTCCACTCAATAATCATATCAGATTACTATGTATAGCCACAAGATCGAGTGAAACAACGATCTCCTAGAAAGATAATAGCAATGAGTACATCACCTTGCAAAATCCTATATAATGACAAGACAATGAATTAATAATTTAATTAAAAGTGGGCAAGTCAATGCAAGTCGTGATATTGCTTTAAAGCTGCTTTAGAACAAAGCAAATAGGAATCGGACAAAAGATGAAAAAGCGAGAGTGAATACTGCTTCATTTTTCTTAAAGACACAATCAATTCAGCTACTATTTAGTAGAAAAAAAATGCACCCCAGAAGAATCCAAGGTTATTGTGGGGCAGTAATTGGATTATCATGTCCGATAGGATCATCTTTCCTGTACTTCTCCATTATTGACCTCGCTGCCTATCTTTCACGCCTATCGGACCAGAAACTATCTAACACTACAACTTACTCAAACCTATTCTAAATTATACTATTATGTATGAACAATTCTCCTTCCAAGTGTTCTGCAGTATATTTACTGTATTAATCTGAATCTATAATTTAAAAAAGAGATGCCTGATCTGAGTCGTTTTCTGGTTGCTGATATAGAAAGATTTCACTATAATTTTAAAGAAAGAAAATGCTAATTTATGTTAGAACACAAAACTGGAAAATAAAGATTGCACAGAATCCTTACTAATTTCTGATTTATATGAAGCTTCAGTGCAGTCATCTTGTCAATGTCTCTGTGGGACAAATATATATATATATATAATATCACCCACAAGTAAGCAGTTGCAGGGTGCTAAGCTCAAATTGGGACTAAAACACTGGTATCAAAGCATAAGGTACAAGACATACTGATCATCAATATCATCTAAAAGTGGCTTGGCGATGAAAGAGTTAAGTATACAGTTAATCAATCATCGAGCATCTAGTATAGATAGAGTCATTTTATTTGTCGAAGAAGATACATGCTTGTCTGATGAAGAATCTTCTCCAAGTGGACTTTTTTGAAACAAAAAACCAGGTTGTTTGGGGTGTAGCAATTCAATTTCACTTCCCAACATCAGAATCACAGATGACATACTTGGCTTATCCTCAGGATGCTGTTGTACACCAAAAAGACTAATATGGATGCATCGTATCACCTGTGATAGATTGCAAAGCTCTCCTAAGCATTCTTCAACATGTTCTGAAGCACTGCCTCCTTTTCATAATCTCCATGCCTGCAGCATATTGAATCCCTTTTAGGCTTTATCAATCCAAGATAAGCAAAAACAAAAAAATGATTATAATAAACTTGCTGAAACTGACATGTTCAACAAGGTTGCCGCTCTGTGTTGGATGGTAAAGCCTTCTATTTTTCTTCCCTTTCATAATCTCCAGCAATAATATACCAAATCTAAAGACATTTAATTTTACTCAAAACAATCCATCAATAGCATATTCTGGTGCCTTATAAACACTACTGCAGAACATCATCAAAAGCAATAAAAATATGAGGATTTAAGGACATTATGATAATAAAGTGACACTTACTGAGTTTCAACCACTCTTTTAGTGTTACCTTGTTAGAGTTAAAGCATGCATTGACTTTATCATTTTGTTTATTATGTATTTTGCTTCGTTGTACTGGTTGTTAAGTGTTGTACACTAATGTTTATGAGGGGTGTTTGTGCATGGTTAGGTTTATAGCAATTGTCTGTTATGTTAATAGGTGTTAATCTTGTATAGCTTGTATAAATATTATGGTTAGGTTAATAGGTGTTATGGTTAGGTTTATAGCAATTGTCTGTTAATCTTGTATAGCTTGTTAAAGCTCCCTCTTACTCATCAAAGCTCAATCTTCAGCAAAATGTCAGCCTCAATTGTCACACAGCAAACCGTACCCATTTTCGATGGCTCTAATTATCCTGTTTGGGCCATTAGAATCAAAGCATTCCTGAAAGGTGTCAATCTACGGAATGCACAGAATGAAGAAATTTAGCCCTTGCAAAGAGCCTTGTGCTTGATGGCAATTCAGTTCTTGCTTACTAGCCAGTTCAGATTACCTCAAGAAAGGAAGGCGAAATGAGAAATTAAACCAAAAAAGACAAAAGAAAAAGATAAATTGTTGAAGAAATAAGAATTGTGATTAAATTTCTGTTCCAGCACAGAACCTTGAGATTCATCAATTCTGTCCTACTTATCGGTATGATTATCAGTTAAGACCATTGAAACTATTCTATAAATCTCAACTCTTATTGCAGATAGAGAAAACTATCTTCAACTGGTTTTGAAATTTCTTTTCTGGGTACATGATGCTGTCAATTTAAAACAATTGAAAAATAGGAACTGAAATAAGTTGCAGTGATTTAACCTTGCAATTCATATTGAGATGAGGTTAACGTAATTGTTAATTCAGTATTGCAACTCTATTACTGTCAAGTCAATCTGTAATTCATTTAAACACAAGGGAAAATAAGGTTGGATTCATTTGCGTTGGCTAACCATTGAGCATTTCCAACCACTCTAAAAGAACCATATTCATATTAATCTCAAAATCTCCATAATGGCTCAGAGCCTAATTTTTTTAATCAGAGTGCAAGCAATTAAGTAAGCATGCATTTTAAAAATAATACCAATTCTTGATGCTCTGCAGTGCAAACTCAATGTACTTTCGCTGAATCGAAATATATATTTCAAAGGAGAATTAATCCAATTTAAGAAAGTCATGAATTATAATTCCTTGTTGCTGATATAGAAAGACTTGGTTATAGAAGACACTATTGCACAAGAAGTTCAGCCCTTGATAAAAGTAATGAGAAAGAAATGAGGCTTGCGCCAGGTGGAGATTCAGCTTCTTGCTTGTCAGCCATTTCAGATTACTTCGAAAAAAGGAAGGGGAACAGATCATCAATTGTTCAAGACACCAGAATTATCACTTCATTCTCTTCCAGAATATCCTGTTTTTTGGTTCCATGATTATCAGTTGTCAATTGGGGCATTTCCATCACATCCGGTTTAAAACCAGAAAAAGAAGCCGAAAAGCAAAGCCAAGAAGATAGCAATTAAGAAAATCTGTTCCACAATAATACAAACTTGAATTGAAAGAAGACTGAGAAAGTAGGATTTTGATTATGGGGCCACTTGTCCCTCTCTCCATATATAACTCCAATGTTGTCCTTACAACTTTCTTTATGTCTTGAGGCAAAGACCATAAACATGTAGAGATGTTAAAAGAATGTGTCAGCTGGATAATCAAGGGCCTGTTTACTGCATTGGAACCCTGATTTGACATGACATAATTACATGTATAAAATTATTCTTACTCATAATAAAGGTTTAAATATTGCTCAAGTAACTTGGCTGGACCATACTCTAGACTTTTTACATGCAACGATAATCTAGAATTATTTGTAAAAATTATAAAATGAAGTGTTAATCACTGAAAATTCTGAAACTCGTAATTTTGCTATAAGATGCAAATTTATTTTCTTAAATTGAAAGCATTGTAGTGAAGATGGGCATTCTTATGCTTGGTTTTTCAGTGCCCAGACAAATTAAGAATGTTCATCTCTCCTATTACATTTTTTTTCTTCTTTTCACTTTTTCTCAACAAGCATGGAATATGATATCAAATAATGAAGTTAGATGCATACAGTATGGCAAGATTTAAAGAGAAATTTTAAGAGCAGTCGAGGGTCTTCAAAGAAATCAAGTTCAATATCAAAATGACCCGCCTCATCTTTTTTATTGTAACTATAAGGGAAAAAGAAATGCTTCCTTGGGACTAAAAATGAAGCAGAATACACCATATGGTTTAAAAATCGAAACCTACATAACCTGCTTATTAATTCCTACAAACATAAAGCAAATTACATGGACATAAATCTAGTTTTCAATAATAATAAACATCATCTTGGACAATAATTATAATAATAAATCCAAGAAAATATGAATTGTTTTACAATCCTAAAGGATTTCAATTATGGATTAATAAATTTTAAACATAAGAAAGGGATAGTATTTCACTGCCCAAGTAAGGCAGTTGTCTTCGAAAAACACCGGATGAGCCGGAGTGTTGAAGGAAGAAGGTTGTTAATGAGGAAATTTTGCAGAGGAACAGCGAGATCAAAGATCAGGGAGAAAAAATCTATAAAAATGGGAAGAGCACACTCAGAAGCTCACACCACCTCTCATTCTCGTTAATTTCACCTTATATACATCACACTGAACAATTAAAGGAAATGGCAAAATAGCAATGGCACTAAGCCTCGAAAACAAGGAAAAAAACAAACTTGGTTGGCTGTGCACTGAAATCCATGTATTGGTTTCGATGCCAGGCAACAGCTACAAAGGAAACAGAGGACACCTGGCTTAACAGCCATATAACATCGTCAAAACGACACACTCAAGTAGTGTTTTAAGTAAAAAAGAACAAAACGACATGAGCTAAAGTTGTATTACATAAAACTTTACAGTTAACTAAATAAAACGACACTCAAGCTTAGTGTATCAAAAGTTGAAGTATAATAGTTTCTGCCCTAAGATCACAGATCATTATGATGAAGCCTTTTTCATCTTTGGATGAGGCACATAATCTTGTTCTCAGAAAGGAAAATCAAAAGAATTTTCTTATCATGGGTCAGCCATTGAGTGAGACTGTTGCTATGTCTGTTGTCCCTGGTAGAAAACCTAAAAGGAAGTTTGACTCTATATGTTCACATCTCTTCAAATTGGGAAAAAAAAAACTGTATTGTAATTAAAAGCATCACACGTGCATCACATTGACATAAATCTAATTTTCAACAATAATAAACATAATCATGATTGAAAATGATAATAATAATAAAGAAGCAAGCAAATATTAATCGTTTTAAACAGTTCTAAAGATTTTCAATTGTGGGTTAATATAATCTAAACACAAGCAAGGAATTATAGATCTTTTTGATAATCAAAACAAGAAAACTATCTTGCACAAATGCAGCGGAGAAGTAAAGAATGATGAGATTACATGGAATTTGTATAGCTTAATCATATGAAGTGTCAGTGTGGTTCTTCAATCTCCCTATCTATGAAATAACGCAAGGCATTGCATATGAACTATTCTGTACATCTCAACTCTTCTTGGAGTTAGAGAAAACTATCTTCAACTGGCTTTGAAATTTCTTTCCTTGGTACATGATGCTGTCAAGTTAAGACCTTTGAAAAACAGGAACTGAAATAAGTTGCAGTGATTCAACCTTGCAATCTATATTGACTGGAGGTTAAATTAATTCTAATCCAGTATTGCAACTCCATTACTGTCTAGTCAATCTGTAATTAGTTTAAACATTAGGGAAAGTAAGGTTAGATTTCTGCAAATTGGCATTCTCTGCCTTGCTTTTAGAAATCTTGTTGGTGAAATTGGATAATGCTTCTTTCAGATAAAAGACTTGAAGATACCCCTTAATAAAAGGCTTTAACAAATTCTAAATATAATTAGTCAAATCATATACAGAAACCGAATTTGAATCTCGAAAAGATGATTTTTTTTTTCTGATCAAAGCCTCTGTCAAGAACAAATCCTGATGACATACAATTCAAGTGAATTTCCTAGATACGGTGACCTAAATCACTGCATCCAACTGATTTTTCTTCAACAAATGATTATTGATATGCTTCATGATAGTAGTTTTTCCCATACCACATACTCCAATTATGCCAACCTCATCACCCATTGAGCTTTCCCAAATTTGTTCTTTTACATTGACTTCACCTTCTAGATATGTTGTTGGAAATGCCACCTTCTAGATATCACTTTATCAAACCGATTATCCTTTAACAATTAATTATTGATATCTTTCATGATGGTAGTTTTCCCTGTGCCACCCGTTCCACACACTCTAACCATTCCAACCTCATCACTCATCAAATACTTCCAAATTTATTCTTTAATTTTACATCGATTTTAACTTCTAGATTTCATACGTTGGTAATGTCACCCTGGTGGCTAAAGGCCGCATACTATCAAGGAAACTACCTTCTTGTTAAATTTCCTCCAATACTTCGGCAAACAAATATATTTGCTAGCATAATTCAAACAAAAAGCAAACTTTATTATATTAAACTTTGTTATATTTAGCATTACATCCAATATTCAAACAAAATAAAATGGATACAAGAACCATACACTAACACTGACACAACTGTAGCAAACAATTCAATATGTATTACAGCACAACAATATTCATCCCCTTCCCACTCCATTTATTTACTATATATCCCAACTGACCAACCACTGGGCAAGGTTGGGCAAGGGGAGTGTTGCTTCCTCGATTACTCGCAAGTGATAGACACTTGCACTTCGCCATATTCACCGTATATGCTCTTGGTTTGGGTTCCGACCAGTGCATCAAAGTGTGCACTCCCCTGTGCAATTTGGTCATCAGGTGACACCGTGTCATGATCCCACAAATCTGTTGTTATTGTTAACCCGGTACTTGCTGGTGCTACCACAACCGAACGAGTCAGGGGAATAGAATGATGGGGACGCACTTCGACGTATTTATCGGACGATTTCTCAAACAATGTGAGGGATGTTGATGATCCCCCTAAATCTTGCAAAGCTTTGATTGTTCCGTACACATCCGCCGGCGATTCCTTATCCCCATTGATCAGCAAAACCTCGATAGTGGCGTTGAGAGCTTGTCTTACTACGGAGTAACCCACAGTGACATTGCCATTTTTACCATACACAACCTTCTCTAAACGCTTGTCGTAATTGGCGAAAGTTAAATTCTCATTTCTTGGTTCCCACACGATGTTACCTTGAGCAATCTCGTCGTCGGGGGACAAGCTGTCATGGTCCCACAAACTGACGTTGATAACGAACACACCACCGCCTGAAATAGCAGTAGAAGGGCCTGTCAATGTTGCAAATCCGCCAGGACCTTTGCTCTCGTAGTCACTTGAACTTCGATCATACACTGTATGAAGGCCCCAAAAGTCCTTGACCTTCACCGTTCCATAGAGGTCACCAGGATCTTCACCATCAATATTGTTCACACGTACATACTCGATGCTCACCAAGGTACGCACATATGAAACATTTGTATCAGTAGCAGTATCCGTATTACGAGCATTGCTAGCATCAACATCAGTTTGGCGTTTCATACGGTTGCTTGTTCGTGGGACATACAACAAGATCCCAAGTGCGGCAATGGCTTGACCTACGGTCCAAATGTCGAATCTATTAGGGTACGGGACGTTAGGCAAGGGCGTATTATTTGTCCAGTAAGGGAGGTCAGCACGTTGGACAGCACTTGAAAAATCGTCAAAGCCTTGTTGTAACTCGACGAGTTGCCAAGTGAGTGATGCAGAATTGTACCAATTTGTAACAATGTGGCTGGTTATTAATTGAAACCTAGTAGATTCAGCAATCATCTGAGTTAGAATCAACAGTGCTCTAGCACAAGCCTCCGATGCATCCTTTTGGTTCGGGTCCTCATTTGTTGCTAGGTTACGAATGGCAGTGCGCAAATTAGAAAAACCCAACTGAACATTTTCACGGTTAACATTGGCAACATCAATCAAAGTTACACCATCTACATAGCTTCCGGTATATGTGAGAGGACTTGATCCAGGAATCAAAGAAGAATCCTTAAACTCCCAAAATGTTGCGCCATCATCTCTCGAGTATCCACGCACGTATAGATTTCTCTTGTCGATTCTCAAGATGATGGTGAAATCCTCAGAAATTAGGCGAATATCTAACCAGCTTAGAGGCTGTGTCTGTGGCATGAGCACATTGATATCATGTGATATGGAGTATGAGAGTATGGATCTTAGGCTTTGGATAAATGTCTGGTAATCATCTTCATCAACATTGAAAGCAATTGTTGTATGCCCACCTGCCATTGCTGATCACGCGTTCTAGTTTGCAAAGATAAGATGGAAGCGTTTGTTCAGTAGTGTTATAAAGGGGAAAAGCTTCTTTGCTAAAGTTTTTGGAATTATTCCTATTTTTACTCACTATAATTAATTTCAACGTAATTAAGAGAATAGAAGCATGACCAAGAAAGAACCAAAATAATTTTGTGCAAGTTATCAAAAGATGATGAAATTATGTCAAAAGATTATAAGATTCCAAAAAACATGAACCAAAAGATTAAAAATCATGATATAAAGTAGTAGACAGGTCAATTACCTGATTAAGTGAGGTAAAGAATTGCTACTTCTCCTATCCTTAGAGGATCCTGGTTTAAATCGGTGGAATGGAAGATTAATATGAAATGCCCAACTTGTTTATTAATATTTCTTTCCTTGTCTCAATTCAACGAGGCTTTTATATACTTTAAAGGAGTGGAGGCAACTTACGCTAAGTTCAAAGGTTGATGGTACTTCATTCACACCAGAACCTTTTATTATATGTCAAATTCCCAGCCGGTTACGAATTAATTTTTCTATAATTTTCGTCTGACGCTTGTACATTTGACAAAAACTCTATATTTTCATATACTATTATATATATATATATAGAATATAGTACAAAAAAACGTTACTAAAATTCAAAATTTTACAAGTTCTTCTAAAGAAAAAACAAAAGCAAAAATAAGGTTTTTGAAAACATTAGTAGAAACAAGAAGTTCTTATCTCCATCGTCTATGAGAATAATGTTTAGATTTCTAACACTATTTATATACAGATGAATATATATACTATTTATATGCAGCATTCATTTTCCCCCGCAGAGAACCATCACAAATTCTTGAAGAGTCGAATAATTACAAGAATAAATTGAAAGAGTCGAATGGCATTAAAAATACCTGGTTTCTTCTTCGAATCATGTGGAAAAACTAAGAAAATATTGATGGTTTTGAACAGTCCTAAAGATTTTCATTTATGGCATGATATAACTTTTTGATAATTAAAACAAGAAAGCTTGTGAAAACAACAATATATCCTACACAGACATTTAAGAAATTACTGCAAGAATGGAGAGACATTAAACGTACCTGGTTTTTTCTTCAAATTATTTGAAAGATGAAAAACAGAGGTCAAGTAGATGAACTGCAAATTAAACCCCTTCACTCCTTATTACAGTACAAATTTTTTGTGGAAAATAGCTGAAATAAAAGAGGGAATATTATAACTCAAATAATAAAGGGAAAATTAGTAGTGTTGTAGAGGTGAAACTTTTATTGTTACTAAATTTTTTGGAATTATTCCTATTTTTAACTCACACTTTGATCAATTCAGCCTGATTAAGAGAATAGAAGCATGATTAGGAAAGAACCAAAATAATTATGCAGAACATGTCAAAAGATGATGAATTTATGTTATAAGGTTATAAGATTCAACAGGTTAAAAATCATAATATAAAGTACTAAAGAGTTCAATTACCTGGCTAAGTGAGGCAATGACTTGGTACTTCTGCTATCCTTAGAGAGACTTGGTTAAATTTGTGGAAACAGACATTGAGTAAAGAGCAAAATCTTAAAGGCAAAGAATTGGTTATGTACCTCCTTCCAAAATTTGTCAAGAAAGGAACAAAATCAAATCTTTTGCCTTGCAAAATCTTTTGTGAGAAGTGAATGAATTATGAAGCAACTGAGTTCTTAAATAGGATGCAAGTCACTCTGAAGGAAGCTAAAATAAAATCATTCTTTCTTTTTTCCGAATTCATTGAGGCTGTTATATATTTTAATATATTTTAACTATTATAAGTCTTTTTTTATTTAGATGTTATATAAAATTATTATTTATTATAAATCTTTTGATTATTAGTTAAATTCAACATATTAATTTTAAAAATTTTTAGTTTTTATTTTATTTTGTGTCTTTTACCCTCCCAACAAAAATTGGTTAGTTACGCCCCTAGGTTTATGGTACTTTTAATAGATATGTCAACTTCCCAGCTGGTTGTGCAATATTTTTTTCTATAATTTCGTCATGAGGTTTGTATATTTAATGATAATAATCTCAAGCACAGCCAGACTCATAGGCTGAGCTGTAATTTGTTTGCATCTGCAACACGATTGAGCAATCTAAAATTAATTTAAAACGAAGCCAACCTTGTGGAAACCTGTATTTTATTATTTAAGAGCTACAATTTCATCTAAAGACCAATTCATGATGATCTGCAGTGTAAACACGATATGCTTTATACCAATCGAAATTTACATTTAAAAGGAGAAATAATCCAAACTGCAGAGTACAAAAGTCTTGAATTAATTCCCTGTTGCTAATGTAGAAAGATATAGTTATAGAAGAAACTATTCACAGAATGAAGAAGTTTAGCCCTTGCAAGGAGCCTTGTGTCTGATGGCAATTCAGTTCTTGCTTATTAGCAAGTTCAGATTACCTCGAGAAAGGAAGGCGAAATGAGAAATTAAACCAAAAAAGACAAAAGAAAAAGATAAATTGTTGAAGAAATAAGAATTGTGATTACATTTCTGTTCCAGCACAGAACCTTGAGATTCATCAATTCTGTCCTACTTATCGGTATGATTATCAGTTAAGACCATTGAAACTATTCTATAAATCTCAACTCTTACTGCAGATAGAGAAAACTATCTTCAACCGGTTTTGAAATTTCTTTTCAGGGTACATGATGCTGTCAAGTTAAGACTATTGAAAAATACGAACTGAAATAAGTTGCAGTGATTTAACCTTGCAATCTATACTGAGATGAGGTTAACATAATTCTCAATTCAGTATTGCAACTCTATTACTGCCAAGTCAATCTGTAATTAATTTAAACACAAGGGAAAATAAGGTTAGATTCATTTGCATTGGCTAACCATTGAACATTTCCAACCAATCTAAAAGAACCATATTCACATTAATCTCATAATCTCCATAATGACTCGGAGCCTAAATTTTTTATCAGAGTGCAAGTAATTAAGTAAGCTGCATTTTTAGACTTTGAAAAAATGTCATCGAGATTATTTTTCTTCTCAATAATTATTATTAAGTGAACATGATTGCCAAAAGTTAAGTCTATCCTAACAGAGATTTCAGCTGATTACATGAAAGATAATTTATAGGCTACGTACAGGATCTGTCTTCTGAATTACCAAGAAATTGCAATAACATGTCGTAAGGGTCAAATAGAATTGATGTTACGTAAATGCTATTAAAATTCCCCCACTTACATCACAATCAGTCTGTTTTGAATAATATAAACCCATAAAATTTAATGCTTTTGGCTTTATTATGTCATCCATGATGGCATTGCAATGACTTCAACTGGGAAAGTTAGAAACTGAGCAATCTGACATAAAAAAAAAAGAAGATAAAATGAACAAATGGGAGAAAAGGAAATGCACCAACTTGATTAAACGATGACCATCCTGCATAAAAAAAATAGAAACAGCACCTACCCTGTCATTATCAAAGGGAAGACCGAAAACTAGAACTCATAATGCCATCTGCTCTCTAGTTTCAGTGTTTTTGGCTTGATTCTCCCACCAATTAATTACTTTATGACTTTGCTACAAACCAAACAGGACGTATAGGGCTGGCAAAATAATACTAATTGACGATCTGGAGCAAGAAAACCTGTCACACGCCCTAGAGCTATTTTCAATAGACAAAATAAATTTTAAAGATAATGTCTATTAAAAGACTTATATTTAAGTCAATTTTATTAATTCGTATAAATTTTTCATCAAATTATATAAAAGATGAAGAACAGAGGTATGAACTATAAATTAGTCCCCTTCTCTCCTTGTTAAGTACAAATTTTTTGTGGAAAATAGCCAATATAAAAGGTGGAAAATTCAGAACTAAAATAATAGAGGGAAAATTAGTAGTGTTGTAGAGGTGAAAATCTTATTTTTGTTAAAGTTTTTTATATTATTCCTATTTTTTACTCACTCTATGATTATTTCAGCCTGATTAAGAGAATAGAAGCATGACTAAGAAGGAACCAAAATAATTACGTGTAACTTGTCTAAAGATGAAGAATTTTATGTTATAAGATTACAAGAGCAAAATCTTAGAGGCAATGAATTGGTTATATATCTCCCTTCAAAATTTGTGAGGAAAAGAGAAAATCATTATCTCTCTCCAGCAACTGAGTTATTAAAAAGGAGGCAAGTCACTGTAATTAGTCGTCTGCAGGAAGCTAAAATAAGATCAAATGCCCAACTTTTTCTATTAATATTTTCTTCTTTGTCTCATTCACTGGGAATTTTTATGTATTTAAATGGAGTGGAGACAAAACAATATGGCCTCTAGATAAGATCAAAATACATTGCTGAGGAATCTAAAACTAAACCATACCCTCTGCAGATAGAGACAGTGGGAAACCAAAAGGATAGGTATGGAAATCAGACATGAATTCTTGATTAATTCACAATACTGACTTTAAGAACTATGTCCTAATTCTGTGAAGCTCAAGTTCTTCTTCAATCAGGATGGCGGGTCACATTTCAATTTTCCAGGTTTCTGTCTAGATAGATTTTGTTTCAGAATCCAAACCAGGTCATGATCACCTCCAAGATTAATCTGTCAGCTACTCAGCCAACGTAAGCAAAGAATCATTCAAAGGTTAATGGTACTTCATTCACACGAGAAGCTTTTATTAAATGTCAACATCCCTGCTGGTTGTGCATTATTTTTTTGTATAATTTCGTCATGAGGTTTGTATATTTTAATGATAAAAATCTCAAGCACAGCCAGAGTCCTAGGCTCTGAGCTGTAATTTGTTTTCATCTGCAACATGATTTCCCCTTCCTTTTTTGAAGTAATCTGAACTGGCTAATTTTGATTAATTTTGTAAATTAATCAAGAATTCCCGGCTGATTCAAGGATTATACATTTTAATTGACAAATGGTACTGTTTGGTATGATAATATATAATAATACATGGATTCTACACCTAATATATACTATTGATTTTATGACCTGAGTAACCAATGCACAAACGATTAACCACTGCAAGCATTGTTAAGATTAATTAACTTGTTAACAAAATAATTATTGTTATTTAATACTCAAAACAGATCACTTTAAATTATCCAGTCATATGAGCAGGTATTAAAAAAATTTGACCAGTAATTGTGTAGGATTGACCCACTGGCTGCGTTTAGCCTTTATATTTAAGCTCATCCATAGCTAGGTTGACATGCTCAAATTTAAGAATTAAAAGACAGTTCAGTGGGGTTTGTGGAGTCATTTCCTTATCCTTTATTTGTGTTAATTATTAATACCAAGTAAAGAGCTTTCTTCCTCACCATTCATACATGTAGGAGTATCAATTAAAAATATAGAATAAATGTATTCTACCACAATGCTAGTATTAAAAATTTTAGCATCGCAGCGTATCTGCCATAATACAGCAGTGGCATTGTGTAGCAACAATATGTTATACCTATATATATAATATACAATATGAATCACTGTTGGCCTCAAAAAGATGATGGATCAATGCCATCTATGAGTGAAAAAAATTACATACCCTTACAAACAAAAAGTCAATGCATTCTAAAATTTTTCTAGTAACTAATAAATCCAATTCCTTTCCTTTTACTTTCCTCTTTTCTGTCACCAAGAATAACAACTAAGGTTTCATTATCAAAAATGGAAGTGTCATTCTGGTCCCTTCTTCAGCCATATGCCCCAGCAGCAGCAGCACGCTTCTCAACTTCACCTTGCTCTTCTCGGGCGCATTCTTCAATTAATTCTCGTTGTCTTGGGGTCAAATTCCTGTACAAATGGTTTCCAACCATCACTCAATTTGTTTTTAAGGAGAGCACATAAATTGAGGCGTAATTTGCTTCAAATGTGAATATGCTCAGAGCGAATAGGGCTGCCTCATAAGTATATTAGAAACATTCTCTTTCACAGAACAATTTTAGAAATTTTCAGCACGTAGAAGACTTACTTTGGGATGCTGACGATGAAATGCACATATTGATCACCAAATGCGTAAGAATTCCTTGTTTTAATCCCTGTCAAAAACATCCAGAAATTCACAATTTTAGAACTGTCTAGGCTCAATTCCTTGTTTTCCTAGTATCTTTCTCCAGTCCTTCTCACCTTTATTCTTCAGAACCACCTTCTGGCCAGGTTGAGTGCCAGGGTGGACCTGCAAATGCGAAACCGTATAGATTCACAATTTGAGTGATAAAATAAGCATTCAGTTCAACTACCAGAAATAATCAAAGGTCAGTTTCTTATGTTTTACATCAATCATACAAAATTTCCAACAAACCTTGAGTACAACATCACCAGTAAGGGTTGGGACCTGGATGGTTCCTCCCAAGATTGCCTGCGAAAAGCAATCCAAGTAACTCAGCTAAACCGGATGAAAGGAAAGGTCCTAATAGTTTGTTTGAAAATATAAAATTTCATATGTACCTGATTAACACTCAAAACAGCATCCACATGAATGTTGGCACCTTCTCTACGAAAAACTGGGTCATGGCGGACCTGCAAACAATAACATAATGAAAATTATGAAAAATTTTCATAAGTAAAAGGCTATAAATTTACAATTATTTCCTTTCCTTGAAGGGTATGCAAACTATCAAGATATCCAAAAGGCCCTGAACTAGTTACCTTAATGGTAACATAAAGATCCCCAGGATGAGTTCCATCGGGATCGGCTCCACCACTTCCATAAACCTTCAATGTCTCATTGTTATCCACTCCTGAAGATGCAAAACAACTTTGAGTCAATCATTTGATAAAAACAAAACACTAGAAGACCATGCCTTTGATACTGGATACAGGTTTTGAGTCAATCACTCAAAAAAGGATCTTACTAACACCAATTTGTTGTTTGCAGTTCTGATGCTGAAAATGAAAATGTGATTGTTAATGCACTGTTATAGCCAACAAGCATTGAGAATGAATAAATCATGAAAAAAGATATCAGTAACATCACTTTCTCTAGTCCCCAACTCCACAGTTAAAAATTAGAAATGATAAAACTCACAGGAGATAGGAAAATGATTTTAGAAGTTATCGACGGCAACATGGACAAACTTATAGTTTGTTTCACTAACCACTAGATCAAAGTTCCAATGCCTTGAGTTATGTTTCAGTTTTTAAACACTCACGCACAGACATAGTAAGTTAACGTCAGTAGAACAAGAGACTACAGACTCATGATACAATGCAGGACATACCAGGTTAAACCTTTAGCAAAGCTGCCGCCAAATAGACCTTTAACTTTGCTACATACCTGGCATTATGTCCAATTTGACTGTTTTTGGTCCTCTCACTAACCTAGCTCCATTGCACGACCTGCAAAGCCTCTGGTGCCAGCAAAAGATAAAAGATCTCAAATCACAGTTGTGAAAGAAAATTCAAACTGGAAGAAGATAAAATCATATAGCATAAATTATTCATGATTAACACATGAATTAATATACAACAATAGCACACAAAGCGTTTATCCACAGAAAAGAAAAAGCAATTAATCATCACAAAATCTACATTGAGAAAATTAGTTACTACTGTTTAATCATGAAAAATACCATCATGCTAAAAGAACCACAATAAAAACAAGTAAAGAAACAACAACAAACTGATCATGACCAAACAAGACGAGATTCATAAATAATGTGAATGTATAACTTACTGATACAAACTGGCCAGTTCCACTACAATGAGGACAATTAGTACGAATACTAATGATGCCCTTGCGGATAGATATCTGAGACAGCAGTAAAACCATAAGTTAACAAGGAGAGAAATTAAGTCCCTAAGTTCCTAATTATAAAAATAATTAGGAGTATCGCCATAATTATGTAGGCTTGCACTAGTCTATACTAGTAAACTAACCATGCCTGAGCCTGCACAATGCCGGCATTTTTCAGGTTTCACACCAGGAGGGACACCTTCTCCACCTGCAAAATGGAGAAAATATCTTATCCAGATCAAAACAAGCATAATAACTAAGGGCTCCGTTTGGTTGATGCTTTTCCTACTTGTTTTTCCCTTCTTGAAAAGTTGCTTTTAAAAAAGTATAAATAATTAAAATGTAACTCTAATTCCAATATATATAATCTATACAAAAGTAGAATTATGTATTTGGTTCTCTTAAAATATTTTAACTATAATCTTTCAAAAATGTCTAATTCCTACCTATTATTTTTATCTTTTCAAAAAAGTATTGTTTTGAGTGGAAAGATAAGGCATACCACAAGCTTGACAAAGCACTGGAGCTTGAAATGTTACTATTTTGGTGAATCCTCGAACAGCTTCCATAAATAACAGTTCAATTGCAATCTAAGTATGGTAAGACAAGTCAAAAAAATAAAATAAATGAAAAATCATAACCATCAACACAAAAGTTAGAATATCTTCACCGCCAATTTTATTTTTGAATATATCTTGAAATTTGAATATCTGGCCAATGTACATATAAAAATATCATATTAGAGTATTGAAAACCCAAAAAATAAAACAAAAAGAACCAAAACAGGTAGAGATAATCACATTTATTCCTTCGGCAACCATATTCACATGCAAAAAACATCAAATCATGATAGGAATTACTAACAACAGAAGTGGTGAGCTCATACAAATATCAATAAACCAAGCAGCAAGAATCAGGCAAGTACAAGGCACTGATGCCTCAGATCTCAATAATACCAAGAGAAGAAAACAGCACATATATATCCACTTCTCCACTGATCTTGACAGTGTGTGATCATCCAATGGCACTACAGTTCTTTTCAATATGAAATACTAATAGTCACTACCAAAGAGCACCTCCAACTAAAACTAAACAAAATTCTATTTGACTATCTTTCATTCTTTCTCTCATCTTAAAATTTTCCCACTTTGCTCAAAACGTTAGTAATCTTTTTTACAAGATGGGAATTTCCATATCATCATATCTCCAATTTCTGAAATTCAAATGCTTGGAGACCATAGATGAGCAAGTCTAACCATATGTTATTAATGATAAAATGAAGCTTTAAGTTCAATAATTAACAACGAAATATCCTTGAATGAATATAATTAAAATCGATAAGCAAGGTGTAAAAGAGAAAATTACATCTTGAAAGTTACTGAAATCAAAATCCTCTTTAAAGTCGCTATTATTTTGCTCGTCCTTAAATGCATCATGACCAACCTACAAAATTGTGCAGATCATCAAGGCTGCTGAAAAGTTATCAAAAACATCTACCACTTGACAAATAGTAATGTGAAAGCATAATTAAATAAATTTTACTAGACCTGATCATACTCTGCACGCTTATTCTCATCTTTCAAAACCTGTAATAGAACAAACAAAATGTGATTCCCTTCAGCACCAAGAGAAATTAACCAAGCAAATACGCAATGATCTGAATAAACATACTTCATAGGCCCTGCAAACTTCTTGAAATTTTTTCTTAGTTTCAGGATCATCTTTATTTACATCTGGATGGAACTTTTTTGCAAGCTAAAAAATAACAAGGAAATTTGAATCATAACAAAATTTGAGTCATAACAAGCGATAGAATTATCATAGAAGGACAGTTAACTACATAAATGATATGAAGAGAAAACTTACCCTAAAATAAGCTTTCTTTATTTCAGATGCAGTGTCATTTCTGCCTACCCCAAGTATATCGTAATAATTCCTAGCTGATATAGAACAGAATCAAAATGAGAAAGAAGGCTATAATGTAAACAAGAAATTGAGAAAAAGAAAGTTGTAAAATACCAGCCATGAATTGACCGTGTTGCACCCAAGTTGACATTTAAAAGTGCCAAAAGCAAGTAGTTTCTAGTGTTAGCTGTATTGGAAAGCATGAAGTTTATTACTTGAGAAAAAAACTCAACAGAGCGTGCAAGAAGTAAAATCTTGATTCTGTGATTAGTTAGGAAGAAAAATAGCAAAAGCAATGCCCGAGAAAGTGCAAAAAAGAGATGAAAGGGCAAACTAAAGAAGAAAGAGTGGAAAATTGGGAGATGGTAAATTACCAAATTGGGGGGTGTGATTTCGAATTATGTTATCTGAATTGTAAAGTCCGGCAGTGAAACTCCTAAAACCCTCAGCAAGCAGAATCTTATACATCTACAATTAAAAATACTATTATGAGAGCAAAACCAACAGCCAATTCCGTTGTCAAGTCAGAAAAGAAAGACAAAATTAAAAAAAAGAGGAGGTACAGAATACGGCTGGAAAAGGTCGGACTGGGGGTGAGAGCGCCGGACCAAGCATTGCATAAACCGAACACACCGAACGCGCCAAACCATTTGCGACCTTTCTCTTCAATTTTCTTCTTTCTTTTAGGGTTCTTATCTAAATTTGTATGTGTGTATATATTTATATATAAGGCTGTGCTAATTGAAGCATAGTCAAATCAGCTTTCTTTTTGAAAAATAAGAGAAAGAAAGAGTTTTATATGAACACAACTTAGGTACGCTGTGCAGCTCCTTACCGGTTTTGACTGAGAAGTACAAGATTACCGGTGCTGTTTATCATCAGCAAGCCAGAAGTGTCGGTGATTGGACTTTGCCTATTTGCCACCCAAACAACAGTTCGAACGCGAATATTCTTGTACCAAATTCCCACGTAACGGTTCTTGGAATCACCAGGACTGAAGAAACCAAGTTCGAAGCTTCCGTCTCCTGAAACCAAGGTGTTGCCATCTCTGAGAGACTTAGAGAGAGAAATGGTGTCAAGCGCTATGCAGCATTTGAAGAGAAAAATTAGGAAACTAGTCCTAAAGAATGTTAGAGAGAGAGAGCATCCATCGATGTCTAACTTGGAGCTCTTTCTTACAAAAATGCTTAATGACTAACATGTTTGAGCCTATTTCAAGGCCCTGAATGATTGATGAGTATTCAACATTAAAGTGAATAGACATTAGGTCACTGGACTTATGGACTTGTAGTTAGACATGCTTTAGAAGAAACAAAGGGTCATTATTGACGACTAGCTACATTGTGAAACCTTAAACCAAGTCCTCTGATTTGGCAATGTCGCCTGTCCCTGTCAAATATGGGCCCATATTTGAAAGTTTGGGACACTGTAAATATAGATTTTCTTAGCTCTGAAAAGGCTCTCAGTTCCAGATTTCTCCGGTCTCTACCAGGATTGGCAAGAGGAAAAACCATCCAGATACAATTCAAATGTAAATAATCAGGCAGCTTTTCAGATAATCATGTTCCAAAACCAGAAAGAAAGGCATTTAGAAAGTAGCAACTGCGGATGCCTTGGGGCATTGAAGTTTTCAGCAGCTTCCAAGCTTAGCCAAAATGCCCCCAGTCAGAGGTTACAACATAAGTATCCTGGAAAAGTGACCCAGTAAGCACACACGTTTTCAAGAACATGGGCTCCACAAGAACCAAGCAGGGTTACCATCTAAATTTATTGCTTGATATTACTAGGAAATTGCACATTTATTCTGGTTCCCGAAATTTCCGGCCTACCCAGCTGTCAATCAATGTTGAAGAACTCAACTTAGACCCCATCCCCTCCTAGGCCATCCACCAATGACTCTGTTAGAGCCCAGTTGATTCCTGAACCGTCAAGCCATTGTGAGTGGATCTAAGCCTACAAGGTGAAGTTGGGCCTTGTTCAGGATGCCAATAGTGAGAAAACATATGAAACACGTGAATATATAAAATTAGTAAACTACTATGTTTTAGAAATTTTCAAGCTCATCAATCCAATTTTAACTTCCAAGAGCAGAGAAATTACACTACAGAAATACTAAAAGACTTGCAGAAATATGAATTGTTAACAGAACAGATTTACCACTTAAATTAATCAACCAATAGTTTTATTTTTGCTGTATCTGCATTCTTCAACAAATGAATAAATGAAAGAAAAAAGTAATAACCAAGTGCAAATGCAAATATTTGATCAATCTTTTTTCTCCTCTTTTTGTATATTTCAATAATTTCATTACAACAACAATTTTGGATAACACAAGAAAACAAAGGACTAAAAGTTTCAATGAAAATCCTTGAATTCTTGTTCGAAAGCTTCTTCGAACAAAAACCGAGATGCTTCCATCAACTCAGGGCTCAACCTGAACATCAACACACAAAACTCCATCTGATTAAGTGCACCATCACCGTCGAAATCACCTTCTTTCATCATGGACCTTAAATCATCATCTGTCAATTCCTGTAACCCCAACAGGGCTGAATTCTTCTTCAGGCTATCAAAAGTTATGACCCCTTTATCACTATCCATCAACAGGTTGAACCCATTGCACAGTTCGCCTATCAGGCCATCCCCACCAAGCTTGTTGGCCATCACGGGCAAGAAATCCTGGAAATCTGATGATGAAGCGTTTCCTGAAGCTGATGATGAAGGTGCTGCCATATTTGATGTAATAAGATCAGAAACAAGTACAAAGAAACAGGATGTTGGATGTTGGAAATCTTGGAGATTTGCAATTTGTGGAATGTCCGGGGATGCCTGGAATGGAATATATAGAAACGGGGTTGAAGTAGATGGGTTGAGACTTCGAAGAAAGAGAGGCCCTGGAAAGACAACTAAGATACAGGTAATGTGGTCGTAGGGGAATCAGTCGGTCCAGGATTTTGGAACTGCTGCCCGCCTACAAGGTTTCTAGGAAGGATGGGTAGGGACAGAAGTGTCAATTAATGGGAAAGAAGTGAGTGGTTTCTCAAAAGACTTATTGGATAAAGAGGAATTAGAAGTCTTCAAAGGGTAGAACTAGAATTGCAGTTCTTTTTGTCTTTATTAAAATTTAACTAGGTGTCATACCATTGCGTTGTAAAAGACAAATTCCTTATGACCATAAACAGATATTTCTCAAACGAAGGTCCCTTGAAAATGACTGCCCATAATTTTCCCTTTTTCCGGTTGTTTTCTTCATCATAACTCCGCATTAACTTTACAGTTGGTCTTTGGTTGACTGTAAAAAAACTCTGGAACTGGAGGAGGTACCGTCTGAGGCTTTAGTCAAAGCTGCCCCTTTTCCAAGAATGGCCCATGTAGGAGTTTCCAATGCCTACTACAATTTGCATACGCCCTTTGTTGGACGCAATCCAATTCAAGTTGCATTTTGGACAAAGCACAAATGTGAAGTAAATTTCTATCATGATTGAGTTTAAAATTTAGATAATATCTAATCACTCATATATTTCTTTTAACAAATTTGAAACTTTTAAATTTAAAAACTTTAAATAAAAAATTTAATCGTGTGATTTAAGAGATTCATTGTTACTTGTATCTAGCAAATGACTTCTTGGAGCAAACTAAGCATCAAAAGCCAAAACCAAAAACTCAAAAATTATAAATGGATATATTTGTAATTTTAATATTTTTCTTATTTAGTTAGGAGTCTTATTAGAAATTATAGATATAATAGGATTTTTTTTTATTTTAATTTACTTGAACGAATAGTAAGTATAAATTTAGGGATTGACTTTTCTTATTCTTCAAAGAAGTGAATAATTCCTTATTTAAATTTACTTATATGTCAAGTAGGACTAGGCTATTAGAAATAGCATCTTTAGACTTAGTTATTGGACAATTTTTTTTTTGTAAATATTGAATAACATTCGTTCTTTTTAAATTTTGAGTTTCTACGTTTGTAGCTTAATTATCAACCTTAAAGGCTTTGTCAAGTATTAGCCTTTGTTTTCATGCTAACTCGCTGCATCGATTGGTATTAGAGCGAGAAAAACTTGCTCAATCTAATAACAAGTGACCTAGTTATGGTAGATGACGGTTCTCATGGCAAAGATCATAAAATTGAGACCTCACGATCTACAGTGTAAGATCAAGGGATGGTGTTGAGAGCTTTAGAGCAACAAATGGATCTTAGATTCCAGTGTTTGGAACAACACTTTAAAGAAATTATAGATCGACTTAATGCCATTGGCGTAGATGCCAATAAAAACTGAAATGACAAAAACCACGTACTGGAGATGATGTAGCTCGAGAACAACTTGTCAGCACTATTCCTGCAAATGGCCGTAAACAATAAGTCTATATATAAGATTCAGACAAAGAAGATGATTATTTGGTAGAACCTGTAAGATATACTAAATATAAAAGGAATGATTATGGTGATCGAGATACTAGAGATTTTAAATTAAAGGTAAATATTCTTTACTTTAATAGGAATCTAAATATTGAAGAATTCTTTATTGGATTACGAAATTAGATAGGTTTTTTTGAATATATGGAGATTTCAAAAGGAAAAAAGGTAAAACTTATCACATGCAGATTGAAAGAAGAACCTTCTACATGGTCGAAAAGGTTGCAATTCAAAAGGAACCATAAAGAGAAAGCACCAGTTAGAACTTGGTACAAGATAAGCAATTGTTTCAAAAGGATTTTCTTTCTCTTGATTATGAGTAAATTTTGTTCTAAAAATACCAGAGATGCCATCAAGGTCCACAAATTGTACACGAGTATACTACAGAATTTATGAGGTTAGTCGAGAGAAATGACTTAGGAGATTGAATAGCAACATGCTGCCAAGTATCTGGAAAGGTTGAAGCCCTTTATCAAAGACAAGATAAGGATACAAGTATTACAAATTTTTTCTGAAGCATGAAATATTTCTTTAAAGCCGAATTGATGTTATTGAAAAAAAATAGACCTGATCATTTTTGCAAGAGTTACAACGAGGATAATTATAGAGCATCTAATGACAAGAATAAATTAGTTCATGATAGTTCTACATGCAATGATTGGTATAAGGAGGAGAAAGCAGTTGGAAAGTAAAAAGTGACAAGTTCGAAAAAGGAGCAAAAAGTTGCAAATCCTTTTGCTAAACCAACTCTAAGAAAATGTTTCAAATGCAATCAACCTAGTCACAGATCCAATGACTGTCTTCTCAAAAAAGTAGTCCATGTAGTGGAGTAAAAAGAAGAGAATAATGAGATTTGTTGTGTTCCGAATGGGGATGATGATGAGTATGAAAATTATGACAATGGCCAGAACCATGTGGTGAGAATAATGATGTTGTTTCCAAAACAAAAGATAACACTCAGCAGTATCAGTTGTTTCGAGCTAGATGCACTATCATTGACTATTTATTTGATATGATTACTGATAGTGGAAGTTGTGAGAATATTATCGGTAAGGATGTTATTGAGATTTTAGGTCTTAAAGTTGAAAAGCACCCCAATCCATACAATATTGGATGGATTAAGGTAGCAAAGAGGATTCATATAACAAAATGATGTAAGGTGCCTTTTTCCATTGGAAAATAAAAAAGATGATGTGTATTTTGATATTGCGGATATGGATACTTGTCACTTGTTACTTAGTAGATCTTGGCAATTTGATGTTGCATTGTAACATGACGGGAAAGAAAACACCTACAAATTGGAGAAGGATGACATAAAGTTTACTATAGTGCCAATGAAAAGAAGTCTCAAACCAAAGCTTATAAAGTGAAAAGATGGGTTTTCTTTACCCTTACTCATGTAGGGAATCAGCTAGAGGTTGTTTTCAAGGAGTTAAAGGAGGTGAATGTTTTGATTGTGAAATAGTTGTTGTCAATTAAAAAGGATCAAGAGCATTCAAAAGCAGCCAAACTATATTAAAAGAATTCAATAACATGATGCTAGAAAATCTACTTGACGGTTTACCACTTATAAAAGATATTCAGCACCATATTGATTTGATTCTTAGTGCTAGTTTACCAAATTTTCCTCATTACAAAATGAGCCCAAAGAAAAACAAGATTCCTAAAGGGAAAATTGAGGAATTACCACACAAAGTACATATCCAGAAGAGCATGAGTTCATGTGCAATTCATTCCTTACTAACCCCAAAAAAGAATGAGAGTTAGAGGGTGTGTGTGGATAGTTGAGCCATCAACAAGATCACTATTGGATACCAGTTTCCAATTCTTAGGCTAAATGACATGCTTGAAAAGTTACATAGGGCTAAGGTGTTCACCAAGATTGATCTTCAAAGTGGATACCACCAAATTCGAATTAGACTTTAGGATGAATGGAACACAACTTTTAAAATGAAAGAAAGGTTATATGAATGGCTCGTGATGCCATTCAAATTGACCAAAGCGTATAGTACCTTTATGTGACTGATGAATCAAGTATTGAAACCCTTTATTGGAAAATTTATCGTGGTTTATTTTGATAATATTATGATTTATAGTTGATAAAAAAGGAGGCATCTTTTTCATTTGCATGAGGTATTAATGGTCTTTTAGGAAAATAAGCTATATGTGAACTTGAAGAAGTGCAACTTTATGACAAATGAGCTATTATTCTTGGGCCATATAGTTAGTGTTGCTGGAATTTAGGTGGATAAAAACAAGATTTGAGCCATTAGAGAATGGTCTACCCCAAAAACAATAACGAAAGTTAGAAGTTTTCATAGGTTAGCAGCATTTTATAGGCATTTTATTAAAAATTTGAGTAGTATTGCAACGCCTATTATGGAGCACTTAAAGAAAAGGAAGTTCTAGTGGAGTGAAGAAGATGCAACTAGTTTTGTTGTGCTAAAGGAAAAGCTATGTACCGCTTCTATTTTAGCATTACTAGATTTTGATACATATTTGAAGTTAAATGCGACATTAATGGTGTGGGGATAGGAGCTATTCTTTTACAAAAAAAAAAGAATCAAGTAGCTTATTTTAGTGAGAAGCTCGGTGATGTGAGACACAAGAGGACCACATGTGACAAAGAATTTTATTTTGTTGTGCATGCTTTGAAGAATTGGGAGCACTTCTTGGTCGGGTGAGAATTTGTTCTGTACTTAGATCATGAGGCATTGAAGTACT